TCCATGCTCTGCAGGTCTCGAAGCCAGGCTTCCTCACCAAGGAAGATTACAAAGGGCTTGTCCTGGCTGTATCTCTGTGAATTGAACACAGCCATCCGGAAGTGCCTGCGCTCACAAACCTCTATGGGATCACGAACGCCCAAATTTTTAGGCATGCTGAGTGAAAATGAACCGCTCATAATCGAACCCACCGGCAACCAGCACGTCAACTTTCTCTTGGAAGGGTCGGATGGAGATTGACTGGCTGTGAACCACGACCGTCGGGGTGTCATCCTCGCATGCCGACTCGCACGAGCGCGTCTCAGATGCCTTTTGGGCGCTCGGGCTGGTGGACACAGACGCCTGCTGGGCGCTCAAGATGGTGGACATAGTGTCACACGACCTGATTGGCTGAGCCATCGGAGGTGGACAGATCTCACCGATCTCCCTTGAGCCAAAGCCACTTCGGGGATGCGACCACGGAGGCTCAGCTTCGTTAAGGCATCGACTCCTCTCGGGGTGCACTACAATCAGTCTGACAATTAGCCTCTGCAGTCCCAGATGCTGGAGAGGGTAGTGCTGCCAAAGTTGTTCTCGCATCAAGAGCACCTGGTGTCGAGGCTTATGGGGCGCTGGAAAAGGCCTCCTGGTCCGAAGAAGACACTTACAAATGCGGTGAAATCACAAAAGTACATCATGTGAATGTGGCAGTGTCAGGACATGCAAACACGGAGCCCTAATACAACCAGAGTAGAATCATGACGTATCTCTACTTTCAAGCAAACCCGGAAGGCATCCGCTTCGAAGTCCGACCATTCAAAAGACGTATTGAGGTTCGAGTTGGCTGCACGTCAGAAATCCTGCTTTAATGGAGGAAGGTGCTTTAGAAGCCCCCGCTGTTAGATGCCCAATATCACAAAAAGGTTGGATCCATAGTAAGATCCCAAGCAAGGGGCTCCCCCAACTTTGGAAGAAGGGGCGACGCAGACTGGCATGGACAGTTTGGTGTCTCGCATGCACCCAGCATTCAATTTCAACCCTTCCGGATAACTCGAAATTCCGAATTCCATGAAACCACGAATCATGGATATCTGTTGCTCATGTACCACTTTCAACTCAGAAATCCTGAGCTTGACCCTAAACCCATGTGATCATGGAGAAGACCCTGCATGCTTTAAGTCCACGGCTTCCAGAAGCAAAGGACCCTAGTGTCCTAGGCCCACGGCCGATACTTGAATCTCCTGTGGATGCATTCATACCGGAGCTTGGTGGTTTGGACGTGAGTCTGGAGCACACTCACTTGGAAGGCGTATGCAATTTTCAATTTCCCACGATATTTTCGGGTTTTGGCGCTGAAGTAAGTTTGAGGTATCTCTACGGATGAGCAGTACAGCCGGACGGGATTTGGAACCCAAATGACATTGGAGCTTCAGACAGGATGCGGAGCCAGGTGTGGGGCATGGAAATCGATGTAAACTCAGTGGAACGGGTAGTTCCGCGGTAAACTGACAACTCTTCAGTCTGAAGGCTGCCTGGTTACCTGGGTTGCATATGGGAGTTTCCAAAAATAGGGACCCTAATATAGTACCCTGAATAGTAGGATCCTTATTATAAGGACCCCCAAAATAGGTACCCGTAATTTTCGGGAACTCCCATATACATTGTGGAACACACTGCCTGCTGACACACCGGGCAGATTCCCCCTGCCACAAGGCAAAGTACCGCCTAAAGACGTGATTTAGCATGATTCACCAAGACTCGAACCTGCTTGCTTGTCAGAGCATCCGCCATTTGGCTGCAAATACACACGAATGCGGGTTTTAGGGTCGGAGGTATCAAAGCGTGGACTGCATTTCAGAGTTGCTCATCTCCGCCTCAACGCCGCTGCCGCTGCTGGAATGTCATGACAAAGCCCCTTGAACTCTGTGCTAAACAAAACACGACTTTTTGTAATGAGGCTCTGCCAAATCAGACACGGTAGTACAGGAACTTCAAGCATCTAGCCCAAGCCGAGCTTTCAGCTTTCACCGCCATTAGCAACACAGCATCACTATCACCACGAGCATAATCCCGAGCCCTGAATGGAAAGTCGCAGATGTGCGGCAGAGTCGTCGACCCACACAGAACGCGAAGAGCTTGTATCAACACCTTCCTAAACCGCTAACCTAACCTCTTTGGGTGGCAGGCGTCCTGCAGGGGGATTTGAAGAGCCGCTGCCAGCGCCCTGGCCGCGGACCAAAAGAGTGAGTTTCACGTCTTTGCGCGGTGATAGACAGGGTAGACGGGTAAACGTAAAGATAGAAGCTTCAGTCGCGCTGTTGTGTCTGTTCAAATTGATGAGAAAACCGACCGTCCCGCCCCTCCCTCCCCCTGCTTAAGGTCATCAAGATAAGAGAGCCGTCCAATGCCTCCGAATCCTAAACAATTTACGCTTCACCATGACGCCCAGTCCCAAAAGACTCGAACTCAAGAGTAAACCACAGGCAGCAAGCTGGTTTTTCGGGATGCGGGATGTGGGGGCCGTGCATACCCGCGCATATCCATGAATCGCGCGTGCGCGCCCGCGTATCGATATCAGGGCCTCGCCTCCCTAGTCTGAAACTCGGAGGCCTTATTTGGCCTGCTTGCTTGCTCCCAGCCTAACAAGGCCCTCTCTCTCTCTCTCTCTCTCCTTCTCTCATGCCCTCTCCTTCTGTCGCCAGAACTATGGTGTACAGGTTTGACGCCTATCTCTCTCTCCCTGTCTTTAGCACAGCCAGGGGAGCGTCGCTTCAACTCGGCCCCCCACGCGATATCGCGCACTGGGGGAATACAGCGCAAAGTGACTGACAAACTAACCGGCTCTCTCTCTCTCTCTCTCGCTCTCTCCCTCTCTCTGCTGCTGCATCCACATGGTCCAACTGCGTTAGGCGGCATTGTGCCCACCAGTTCAGCAGGTTTGAAACGACAGTGTCTCAGACCTCTTGTTTGGTTGCTTGTTCACATTTAGTAGCACCTAGAACGAAAGATTGGCACCGGCTGTCTTTCTACTAACCATCTTGATTATGGAAGGACAGTTACTAATGCTGGGTCCTCGACATGGTATGCTAGGGCCCAATCCTGCCGGATTCCAGCGTTGGCGGTGGGAGTGTGCAGATTATGATCCACAAAGCCAAGGTTCAGAACATGTGAGACACCAGCCGTTTGCGACCTGTGCCGACACCATTCTGGCTCTGCCCTTTGACATGCTGCCCCTTTATGCCCGGAATTACATGCTTCAGCTGAGCTGAGGCCATGGCATCCACACCTGGCCAGCGACTTCGACGCCCTCAGTGCTGGATTGAATGTTGGGCTATCTTAGCAGTCGCAAATTCGGGAGCCATACACCCACGCAGATCCAATTCCATCAGCATATGCCCTTGCCTACTGCGCAGCTTTGCTGTGTCCCCACAACAGCTCCATGAAGGCCCCCACAGTTCAGAAGCCGGACGTTTGCAAACCGGAATTGCAAAACCAGAATTTGGGGCCTGCAGTTTCGACGTTCTTTAGACAAACAATCACATTTTGGCATGGCTCACAGCTGTTGACGCAGCAGTACCAGTATGAAGAACGTCGCAAAGAACTCAAGAACTCGGCTTTCGTCCACGTTGTGCTGATCGCAGCAGCAGTGGCAGAACAAGAAGCAGGCGTAACAGTAGGAGTATTGGTGTGAGTAGAAACAGTCCTCGTAGTAGTCGTAGTAGTAGTTGTAGCAGTTAAGGGAAGTAGTAGGTAGTAGTGGGTAGTAGAAGGGGGTGGTGGTAGTGGCAGTAGTAGTGGTAGTCGTAGTAGTAGTAGTAGTAGTAGTAGTAGTAGTAGTAGTAGTAGTAGCAGTAGTAGCAGTAGTAGTAGCAGCAGTAGTAGTAGGAGTAGGAGCAGGAGCAGGAGTAGGAGTAGGAGTACGAGTAGGAGTAGGAGTAGTCGGGGTAGGAATAGGAGTAGTAGTAGTAGTAGTAGTAGTAGTAGTAGTAGTAGTAGTAGTAGTAGTAGTAGTAGTGGTAGGGAGTTGGTAGTAGTAGCAGCAGCAGTAGCAGCAGCAGCAGCAGGAGCAGGAGCAGGAGCAGGAGCAGTAGTAGTAGTAGTAGTAGAAGTAGTAGTAGTAGTAGTAGTAGTAGTAATAGTAGTGGTAGTAGTGGTAGTAGTAGTAGTAGTAGTAGTAGCAGTAGTAGTAGTAGTAGTAGTAGTAGCAGTAGCAGTAGCAGTAGCAGTAGTAGTAGTAGTAGTAGTAGTAGTAGTAGTAGTAGTAGTAGAAGTAGTAGGACTCGTACTAGTGCTAGTACTGGTACAGTACCGGTAGTAGTAGTAGTAGTAGTAGTAGTAGTAGTAGTAGTAGTAGTAGTAGTAGTAGTAGTAGTAGTAGTGGTACTAGTAGTAGTAGTAGTAGTAGTAGTAGTAGTAGTAGTAGTAGTAGCAGTAGCAGTAGCCGTAGCAGTAGCAGGAGTAGTAGTCGTCGTCGTCTCGTAGCAGTAGCAGTAGCAGTAGCAGTAGCAGTAGCAGTAGTAGTAGTAGCAGCAGTAGCAGTAGTAGCGTAGTAGCTGTTGTTGTTGCTGGTGCTGGTACTCATTAGTAGTATTTAGATTGAAGTAGATACCAGTATAGGTGGTAGTACTGGTAGTCGTCTTGGCAGCAGCAGCAGCAGCAGCAGCTGCCGCTGTTGTTGCATCAGCCAGCACCCATAGTCGAAGATCCAAGTTTGCAACCAGGCGGCAAACTTTCAGGCTATTTCCAAACCAGGTTTCGGGCTTTAACTTAGGGAACCCACGGCCATTTGCTTGCATGGTGTAGGTGTGCGTGTTTTTTCACAAGGCTCTTGTAATCCGTACCTTTTAACCGCGTAGACTGCAGAACTAAAGCCCCCACAGACAGCAACGTCAGAATGTGCAAGCATGCGGAATAGCTAGAATGAGTGCATGATATCTTGCTCTTGCACCTGTCCCGAAAGATTCCAAAAGAAGATCCAAAGCCCTAGGAAGCCCAAAACTTGTCTTTTTCTGAGCACGTCTCTACGCAAGCTCCTGCTGGGCTGCATCCTGAACATCTGTGTCGGGATCACTGTCGGCCACAGCTCGCAACTCAGCCACGGCCTCGACGGGGTTAGGGGTTAAATATAGGGGCCTTTATATTAGAATAGGGTTTTGGGGCCCACATACTATAGTTATAATAAGGAACACCCAAAATCGTATTGGTAAATATTTAAGCCTCTATATTGGGGGTTTAGAGCAAAGGTGAAGGACTGCGATTGCTTGGTCCTCGAACACACCGCAAATACACACCGCAAATACCGCTTGCCACGCTGAAGGGCCAACAGTTTTTGACTCCACACTCGACTCTGTATCAGCTGTAGCAGGGAGGGGATCAGGACCAGGTCCCATCACTACATCCGCAAGCCACAAGACTCAACCCTAAACCCAAAATGCCATCACAGTAAGCCGATTTGGGCACAAGTGGGGGGGAGGCTAGAGATTTGTTTAAGGCTAACTAACTTTGTTCTAGTGCCGGCAGCCCCCAAATGGACGGGACACCAGATTTGTTCAAGGCTGGGGATTTAGAGTTTAAGCTCGCAGCTTGCAGTCCTGGCACTGGACTAATGCGCAAATGGCAGCTCAAATGGTAGTCGTGCTTCGCCTCAAGTTTAGGGTTAAGTTTAGGGTACTGGTAGAGGCTGCATCAAGAACAGCATTTCAATGATTCGCGCAGCAACCTTTCGTCATGGGGCGTTCTCACATTCGCTGCACACCGAGGCTGTTGGCCAGCTGTGCACGGCTGCGTCAGCTGCTCAACGAATACGCAGGAATCATAAAAACATATAAAGTCATGTGAAGATAAAGGACTCACAGGACTGCGTATCTGCATTCCTGGAGTGGCCTGTCGCCAACGTTACGACTGACTCAGGCAGAGCGGCAGAGACAGAGCGACAGAGAGCGACAAGGTCTGGGATGTGGCACTCAGGGAGCTCCCGGGCCGATCCTACTGTTTATGTAGCAAAAGTTATCTTCAAAAATAACTTAAACTCCGAACCACAAACCGGAACGAACTGGCCCTAAGAGCAACCTCTGCTGGGTGCGCACGCAAATGAAAATCACAGCAAGTCGTAGCCCGGTAAGTCGGACACGCTTGATGTTGAACCCGGCTGCTCGAATCTCGATTCTGCAGGCAACAGGCTAGTCGACCTACATCATTACTAATACTGACAGTATCATTCTGTTTCAAGCACCATGCTGATTCTGATTCTGATGGTAGTGACGATGAGTGCTACTATAACTATAACACTGCCATCAACAACAGCAGCAACAAAACAAAACAAAAAAACAACAACGACGATGACGACGATGACGACGACGACCACAACGAGCGCGCGGCGACGACCACCACCACCGCCACAATCACCAGCACCAGCACCACCGTTACCAGCACCACCACCGCAACGAGAACAACGAGAACAAGAGCAAGAACAAAACCTAAACCTCTTTAATTTACACC